GCCGCAACGCGAACCCCGCCAGTGATGCTTTCGGTGGAGCTCCAACGGGGCCGCGATCCTCGCGAGGGGTTTGCCGAAATGGCCCGAGGCCGCCGCGCGAACCCTGCCACTGGCGCCTTCGACAAAGCTCCCCACTCGGCCACGATCCTCGTGAGGTGTGTGCCGAAATGGCCCAAGGCCGTTGTGCGAACCCTGCCGCTGGCGCCTTCGGTGGAGCCCCCACGGGGCCGCGGTCTTCGCGAGGGGTCTGCCGAAATGACCCGAGGCCGCCACGCGAACCCTGCCACTGGCGCCTTCGGTGAAGCTCCCGATTGGGCCGCGATCTTCGTGAGGGGTGTGCCGAAGTGGCCCGACTGACGCTTTCGGTGGAGTTTCCTACGGGGCTGCGACCCTCGTGAGGGGCGTGCCCAAATGGCCCGAGGCCGCCATGCGAACCCGGCGGAGCTCCTTATGGGGTCACGAAGCGCCGCGCTGGGCGTGCCCGGACAAAGACGCGCGGAGGGCGCGAGAGGGGGAGGAAAAGGAAGGAGAGGAGAGGAACGCGGGGCGTTGTCTCTTCAAAACCAGGACCGGATGGTTGGGAACCAAAAGCAAGGAGAGGCGAGTACGACCACGAGGACGAGGAGAGGAAAAAGGAGGAAAACAAAAAACACGAGGAGGCGGAGGAGGAGGAAAAGGAAGAGGGGCAGATAGGGGTCGGGGACAGGAGGTGGATGCGGGGGAGGAGGAATTGGAGGCCAGAAGGACGAGGCGAAAACAGGACAAGTAGGGATAACAGTCTGATGAAGGGCGGTGATGGACCCGAACGTATGAGGAACAGCCTGTCGCGAGGGCACGGGCAGTTCGTGATTTCACCGAGCATCGCATGGTGCCACAAGAATGTCACATCACGGACGGTTGCAGTGCGCAGCAAACCGTGATCTACCAAGAATGCGCAACGTGTGTCGCAGCCAGTGGCGCAATCGTAACACAGGAGAGCTCCTTGCTTCGGGTTTGCGCAACGTTTTGGTGCAACCTGGATCAAGCAGGTCCTCCCTTTCTTCCCCCGCCACTCCGCTCACCTTCCCTTTCCTCCCTTCCCTCCCCCTCCCCCCTCCAGTCTGAGGTGTGATGCCACCGTCGGACGACGACGCCGACAACGACGCTGCCGACGACGTCGATGCCACCGACGAAGACGCCGCCGTCGAACGCGCCACCGACGCCGCTGACGCCGAGGCCGGGGCCGCCGACGCCGCCGACGCTGCCGACGCCTAAACCGCAAACGCCCGTGAGTCGGAGGAGAGGCAGGTTGGAAAACGACGGACCTTCAGCCCAGCCCAAATTTGCTCAACATCTATCCCTGGATCCCCCCGGGGGACCATCCCGATTTTTTCCTGGGCGCGGGCCCAGCCGTGGCAGCCTCCAGAAGTTCCAATCTGAAGCGAAGAAGCGCTTGGGAGGAGGGCTGCCGCTGCTTCGATTGGTCCTCCGAGCGCCGCCGCCGCCGCCGACGAGAGCGAATCGGCGGGGGGGCGAAGCGAGGGGCCAGGCCGTCCCGGAAGGCGGAGTTTCGTAGGACCCCCCCCCCGCTGCTTTCGGGGAAGCCGCCTGTGGCTTCTCCGAAGCCGGGGGTTTTTTGAGCCCTCCTCCTCGTGCGCGCCGCCGGCGGCGGCGGGCAGCAGGCGCGGCGCCACCCTCGCGGCGGCCCGCGCCCCGCGAGCGGGAACCGCTGCGGTTGCTGGGCCAGATGCCCGCGGGGGGCGCCTTCGCCGGGGCCGCGCTGCCGTCGCGCGCGCCGAGGGACGCGGCCGCACCCCTCCGTGGCGACAGGGTGGGCACATCAACTAAGAATTCGGCCTGCCAGCAGATGCCCCGCGGATAGTTTTTTTCCCCCAGTTGGCCCCAAGGGCCCACAGGAGTCCTGGGCACCTCAGGACCCGCAAAGATGGACGACGGATGTGCCCCAAGATTTCTCATAGCAAGGTGTCCGATGGCATGTGTCTACTTCATGAGAGGGGTCGTGCGGTCGGGGCCAGGACCAGGATAAGTCCTTCAGTGCGTTCCGGGACGCTCTCACGTGGGGAAACGCCAGGGGGGCGTAGGCTGAGAGGGGGGACGCATCGATCCCCAATCGCTCATTGATCCATCGCCGTTGGGCGCATGCTATCCCAACCCGTCCAGGAACGTTGGGATTCGCTGTCGGGGGCCTGTCGTAGATCTGTCGGCGATGTATCGTCGATTTCAGGTCGATGTTTCTCCCTCTGAATGCTCTTCCCATATTTCCACGCGTCGTCACAAAACACGACCTCCAGTGTTTCTCTATTTTCGGTTTCTTGGGGCCCTTGCCGGGCCTCTGGTTTGTCAACCCGGCTCATGATGGATGACCGGTCCCGGGGAAGGGGTCCAGATCTCTGGGGGTCCACGTCATGACAGTCATGAGCCAATCATGACGCCCAGGGTCTGGAGAATGGCTGCAGTTCTCGACCTACTCTGCAGACCGCAGTCCGATGTAGTCCTGGTCCTGGCTCCGTCTCAGTCCTGTTCACATCTCTCTGGTCATTATGAAACTATGCTGAGCTCTAATGGCACTACGATTTTGTGCTTGGGTCATATAGTTGCCGTGTGTAGGTGATTGCGTGGATTGTTGAGCGGACTCTTGCATAGAGTTTTGCTTGGGGTGGTTTGCGGATTGCTGCGAGGAGTAATAGTTACGTGGATCGTGGATTGTTGAGTGGATTGTTGCGTGGATTGTTGCATGTATTGTCGCCGTGGTTCCTTTGAAAACCCATACCTCGAGACGTCGTTTTTTGACGGTCCCGATGCCCGGTAAGAACCGCAGGAGGCCGAGACAGCCAAACACCATCCGTCGAAATTGTAGTTCTTTATGCGATGGGCCATCTTGGGAATTGGACATGTGTACCGCCCACGATGGTGGCCCCGCGCGGATCGCTTGGCCATGGCCTCCCGGGGGGCCCCCCCCTCGGGCAGGAGGAGGAGAAGGAGGAGGAGGAGAGGAGGAGGAGGAGAAGAAAGGCTGGCGACGACCAAGAGAAGTGGCGACGACATTCAACGACGGCATAAGACGCCCCGGCCGAGGAGCGGCGCGAGCCGCCCGAGTTGTGGGCAGCGCGGGGCCCTGCGCGGCCCGCGCAGCAGGGCGGGGGGGGGGAGAGCGCCTTCAATCGGCAGCGCGCCGGGGCTGACCCGCCAAGTGCGGTCAGCCAGTTGGTAACGGGGTTCGCGCAGACGGGGCTCAGCCAGAGCGCCAGATCCTGCGAGATCCCACAAGCCGGATCCTGGCTGAGCTGGGTTTTGGAGCCGCTCGCGGCCTTGGAGTTGGCCTTGGCTGAGGCGTGTTTGTTCTGAGCTGGGTTAGTCCACGACCGAAGCGGTGGGCATCGAATCGAGAAATTGGATGCGACCAGCAAGTGCGTCGCATCGGGCTGCATCGCAGTCGGCATCGAACCAGGCTTGCCGCGCCAGGATGCGCAACGGCGCCTGAGAGCATCGGGCCGCACCGGATCGCTGGAACATCGAACTCGAATCGGGTGCAGTCCGGTCCGATGTAGTCCGATCAGACTCACACACCGATCTGATTTGGAGCCCTCCGTCGGGGGCGCCTGCTACGCAGCCAAAGCGTTGGAGCCCCAGATCTCCGACGAACTGACCTTTTCAGTCCAACTGTTGTTTTGTCGAATTCGGGCCCAGCTCTCGGGCTCCAGGACCATCAAGCATTGATCGGGGACGAAGAAACGTCATCATCCGATGTCTGGAGCCGGGCCTGTTGTCAAAGGCTCGGGGGCCGAAGGTCATCTAACCTCTTGTGCCTTTTCTGGCTCTCATCGTTGCCACGGCTGGAATTGCCGTGAATGTCTTGCCAGTGCACCCAGGCCCAGGACGGGTCCGAGGGTCGATTTGTGACCCCCAGACGGAGTAGGAACCTGAACTCTGGGCAAATGTGTTTATTGCCTCTGGGGGCTTTTTCCTGCCACAGGGACACAAAAGCCTTTGGGGAAGGAGTCGGGATCTCCTTGGGACATCTGGACTAGGCAATGTATCGACGCGGGTATGTAATTTGCATTTTTTCTGTTTCCGGGGCCTTTCTTTATGAGTAGCGCTAAGCATGAACAAGTGCGAGTCTGATTGAGATTGGGCTCGACTGCTAGGTGAGCCAGGGTAGGTCTGAATGTGAGCTAGTCCCGCTAAAGTGGGTCGAACGTCTAATTGCAGGCGAGTTTGAAGATTGGTGATTTGGCATTGTTTGTGATGGGTTCTGAACATATGTGGGTCTCAGTGCGAGTGAGTATGAGAATGGGTGGCTATACATGGGTGGACGGGTAGGGAGCCCACATGCATCGCATTGGTCGAACCTATTCGTCATATAGGAGCATGTACACATATGGTCGCCGTGTTGCTATGTGTTGTGAGATGTTGAGCTTGACGTGGTGGGACGAGGAGGGATCGGGGGTTGCAGTATTCCTGATTTGTTGTGCCGCTTTGGAGTCCGCGGGGCCCTGTGGGTCGTATAATGGGGTTCAATGGGACCTTTGGCCAAACTTGGGCCAGGGACACCTTCAGCAACATCCGAAGGGATGCCAGGATGCAACTCCTGGGAGGTTTCTTTCACCGTCGGCGGTGGTATATCCGTGGGCGAAGGCGGACCAAATCTGGCCAGATCCTGTTTAGTTCGTTGAATTCAGTTTAGTCCCGCTTGATCTGGCGTAGTCGGGCTCAGCTGGGCTGATTTGGCCTATCAGCCCCTTAATCAAGCTAAATCGCCCTTGTACTCGTTCCCACGAGGACCTCCAAAGAGTGGCTCCTAAGGAACGGGTGAAGCCCTCGCCAGGCAGGACTGGGATGAGAGGTCAATCTGCTGCAGAACGTCCTGGATCGCTCTAAGAGCGTTCCGGAGCGCTCTTGGGCTGGCCGTGGCTCCCGACACAATCTCCACACACGCTAGTCCTCCAGATTTGTTTCTCATCCAGATGTGTCCCCATTCCGGCTTCGTCTTGGATGCGACGAAGCCCTTTGGGATCAAGCTGCTCGAGACGCGAGCGCGTCGGGGCCGGGGCCGACGGCACAACCTCCTTTCGCCGCCTCCCCCTGACGCGGCCCTCGGCCCGAGATGGAGGCGGCGGCGCTGCCCGCCCTCAGCCTTGCCGAGGCGGGGTCCGCGGGCGCCGAGGAGGAGACGTCTGCGACGGGCCCCGCTGGCCGCGAGGAGGCCCTGCTGCTGGCACTGGGCGCGGCCGCGGCGGGGGTGTCGCCGCTCCAGGGCTCCTCGGAGTCGCGGGTTCCCCTGGACGGCTGGGGGGGAGGAGAGCGGTGCTCGGAAGCCCAAAACCGGTGCGGTGACCACATGGGTGAGCCAGTGGGGATTCCCAGGGAGCGGCCAAGAGGGTGAGAATTAGAGGCGCGTGTGGATATCATGGTCGGGCCATGGCATATCCCAGTTGTGATGACCCTTCTTCTTCTTCTTCTTCTTCTTCCCCTTCTTCTGTTTCTTATCATCATATCTGCTTCGTCTTATCCTTATTCTCTCAAGACGTTCCCTGCATCCCTTGTCAGCCCGCATGCCTCGCACGAGGGTGCGCTACCCATCCTCTTACTGGCCCCCCACTTCGGCGCGCCTGGGGTTGGGGATGAGCGCGTGTTCTTTGTTCGACTCGGCTTGTGCTCCCAGGATGGCTCGGGCGGTGTGGGCCTCCAACGGCCCGGGCGGTGCGAATTCAGCATTGGTGACGTCCTCGTCACCACTGCTGGATTCGCTTCGACGTCCTGGTCAGGACGCCCAAGGAGTCGGTCGGGGGGGGGGGAGAAGGCAGCTCGGCCCCCATGTTTGGCGCTACTCTTTCTGTTTTACTATGCAGTCCTGTCCTGTTCGATGCCTCTGCGAGACCCTCGTCGCTCGAAGGGGAAACCAGCATGAACGTACACTTTCAGAGGTCCGCGCGGATTGCTTCGGTCTGCTCTGCCTGGCGGCCCCGGGCGGCCCCTCGAGCGCCGCCCCTGGCGCTCTCTGCGCGCCGAGAAGGTAGTCCAGCTCCGATTCAGGAATCCGCGCGGATCTCCGAAGCTTCGTATACAGGTGTATGTGCATATATATATATATATATATATATATATATATATCTGTATGTATATATACAGGTGAGATGAGAAGTTGCGGTGGCAATCATGTGGTGTTCTGCTGCGCACACGGCCAACATCAGGTTCGGATCGTACAACTGCCAGAGCGCCAACGCCGCTAGGACGCAAGACATTCTTGATGAATTGTCCAACTTCCATGTCGTAGCCCTGATCGGTACGCAGCAGAAGGCAAAGGAGACGGCCTTGTTGCTAAAGAGTTCCAGATTTTGGGGGTGCGACGCCGGGTGGGCCAGGACAGTACATTCCAATCGTAGCTGCGGGTTGTCGGTGTGGTATCGGTATGGCACTTTTCACCCCAACCATCTCAAGGGGAGATTAAAAGTGCCGGCTGGATTACGGGGGAGGGTGATGGGTAACAAGATCGAAAGGGGTGCTCTCAGGATTGCTCATATGCCGGTGTATTTTCCTCCCTGCCCTCGCGAGCGAGACCAGCAGCCGAAGTATCAGAGGACGGTCGACGCGGTGGTGACGTGGTTGAAGGGCGCCCACACGAGCTTGGGGAGTCGATGGTGCCCGATTCTTCCGATGGACTTACGGCACCTATTCCACCGAGCATGATGGAGTCGGGCCCTACGGCCACCACCAAGGCGTCGAGAATTATGCTGCCTTGGAGTTATTGCCAGTGTTAGCGTCTCACGATTTGGTGCTACTGAATGCATATTGGGATATTGGCTATACTTATGTCGGTTCCAATGGTGGCACCAAAACCCTCGACTACTGTGCCGTCCCCCAGGGCGTGGTGGCTTGCGTGATGTGGTGCAAGGCGCTGCGAGTGTCCATGCGCCGACTTCAACCGCACAGGTGGGGCCGGGAATGGGATCATGTCCCTATTGGTTTTGCCATCGCCTTGGAAGCGCTTGAGCCGACGCTGCCAGACCAACGCGAACGGAGGCTCGAACCCACAGCCCTGAGTGCCCTCTTGCAGACAGGACACCGCCGCGAGGAGTTCGTGGACAGCATCAACAGCGAGCTCTCTAACAGGATCGGCAACATGCGTCACTTGAGCGGTGCGGAGCTGGCCGAGGCTGCTAATGAAGCAATCGTCCGAGCCTTGAGTATTGGGGGCATGGCGACGTGCCAACAGCGACTGGGCTACACGGAGGACCACGCGAGGCACTGCAAAGAGATGACAGACTTGCTTGTGCTCAGGAGGAACTACAGACACAAACTGTTTTGGCCGGGCAAGGCGGATGACGACATGCAGCAGCTCGTGTTGACCGTCAGTTTTTCGACCACCAGCCGGTGGTTGAAGGAGCGTAAACAGTTATATTGGAATCGTGTCCAGCGCACTGATGCCATGCGTGGCGCGGCTACGAGGCGAGATTGGCGTGAAGTCCATCGGTGTGCACGTCTTATTGCCTGTAGGGGGAGGGGCCCACGGAAGCGTCATTACCGAGCACTGGCCGTGAGTGGTTCCACACACGACTGGGTGGCTAGGATGCGCAAGCCCGGAACAGAGGGTGGTGCCTCGGCGCGGGAGGTTACAGCAGAGGAGCTGCGCGACCTCGTCGGGCCCATCAACATGCCGATGCACTTGACCGGGGAGGGGGAGTAGGAGGAGGAGGAGGAGGAGGAGCTGAAGGCCCAAGTGGACGACGACCTCAAGATGATGAGATATGGCGTCTACGTTTGTGGCGGGCGGCACCGTCCCACAGCGTGCCAGCAGAGTTGCTGCGGGTAGCTTTCTGCCCTAATTGGCGCAATCCCAGGCTGCCGTCGCTGCCGCCCGGGATCGGTTTTCGAGAGCCCCGGCGTCTTCGTTCTGGCCCTTTTCTGGATCACGTTGCGGATGCTGTGCCAGGGTATTCGACAATCGCGGGAGTTACCATTGGCATGGGTGGTATCAGATGCGGCCAGGATTTCGAAGGCAAACGACAAGGAGGGTTGCGACGGCGAGAGGTTGGTCATGCAAGTTTGCACCTTGTGCAAGCTCTACCTGAAAGGCATGATCAGGCGTGCTTCTATGAAGTCATCCCGACCACCTCAGCCATATTGGGTCTACGGGGCGATCCCGGGGAGGCGACGGGAAGCAGCAGTGGTGGTTCAGCACGCTTTCTCTTGGCGCCAGGTCAGGGCGAAGTGGTACCACCTGAAGCGCCTTCATGACGCTGTCAACGCTTTCTATGCTATTGACCAGAACGAGCTGTACATCCAGGTGGAGCTCGACTTTGAGCCAGAGGACTGGGACCTACTGAAATTTAGGATTGGGTGGGCAAGTTTTCGCTTGGAGGGCATGGAGCCCGGCGTTTACATGCTGATGTCGGATGGCTGATTGCCGGGGGACCCTGCCATGGTGAAGCTTTTCGTCGGCGCTTGCGCCCGAGGACTGGGGGAGGGAACAGAGGCTGAGAGGGTAGGGCTGGAGATTCGGGCGCAGTGCCCGTGGACAGACACGACCGCCCAGGCTGCAATGACCGTGTTTGTGGACGACCTTGCGGAAAACACTAGAGTAGAGGTGAACTACGAGAAGGTTTTGAAACGGGGGCGGGAGCAAAAGGTGGCTTTCGATCGACTTATGGGAAACCATGCGGATGGCCCAGGACGAGTCTAAGCAGGAGAACTTGGTCTTTCTGGGGGGGTTCGGTGCCAACGCAGTGGGATCTCTTCTGCTTGCGTCGCAGGCGATGGATGGGAGAACCGGCGCTACGGGCAGGTACTCTGGAAGACGACTGAGCACACGATTCACTATGGTCGAGGTCGAGGACCGCCTTCTTGCCGGCAGGACTGCATGGGCACAAGTGGGAAGATATTGGACGAGTGCCGCCCCTTTGCGTTGGCGTCAGAACATGTTCAAGAGTTACGTTGCAAACGCGTGCTATTCAGGGGCAGAGGCCGCAGCGCGGGCACGAGGGCCGAACGGCGCTCGGGAATGGTTGCCTGTGGAAGGGTTTGTTGCTCCAAGATGCCGCGTCCTCCTCGGCGGAGTCGCAACGCAGACAGGAGCGCGCATGGAAGACTTCGAGCAACCTTGCCGTCTTGATGAAATGCGGTTTGGCGGCGCCGGCAGTGGAACTGAGAGCGCGCAGGTTGAAGTGGCTGCAGCGCGAGTTGCGGAACCGCGCGCAGGCGACCCAGTTTCTTGGCGTGGTTTTTGGGTCCCTCGGTGAGGATTCCCCCGCTGAGCTCCACAAGTACCAAGCGGGGGACACTGTCAACCCATGGTGCGCGCAGTTCTTGGCCGATGTGCAGGCGCTGGAGTTCTTTAGTGACGGAGCGCGTCTCTTGGAAATGTACGGCGACCCGGTGGCGCTTCTGACGGACGGGCTGAAAGACTTCTTGGGTGTCGACGTGGCGAGGCTTAGGTCGCATTATTGGACCCACAGGACAGAGTAGGAGAGAGCTCGCCGGGTAGCAGAACGAGGGGGACCGTGCGAGAGCACAGCGCTGGATGCTTCTGGGGAGGTGTGCGGCGCAAGATTCCATGCCAAAGGCCAGCTGACTATGCATTATCTCCGGACGAAAGGGGGTGCACACGGCAGACATCAAGTCGGGCGGTTAGCGTGTTATTCCAACCAGTGTCTTCTATGCTCTTCTATCTTCTCAACCATCGAGATAGCGAAACGGCACGCGATGAGGAGTTTGAAGGCTGGGAGGTGCGTGGCCGATCGAGGAGGGAACACAGGGGAGATCAATATTTACCCGTCCCAGGGCCTCGTATGTCCACAATGCGATCACGAGGCTGACCATTATCACAGTCTCCGTAGCCACATTTTGGCTGAACATCTGCACGGATTTCTGACCGATCACGTGATCGATTTCCCCGTCGCCGCCGGAGTCGGAGCCCCCGCGCATGTTCTTGCTGCCGTCGGTATCGGGCCCGACGCGCCACGCCGAGGACGCGAACGTGGGCAACGGCAAGGGCGGCAAGATGGCCAAGAAGGACGACGAGATGGAACCGGGAGTGCAGGCGAAGCTCATCCGGCAACTCGAGGCCAGGGTGCGGACGTTGGAGTTCAGCGCCTCGACGAACCTCTTCGACCCGACCGACGACCCGCTGGCGCTCCTGCTCGCCCAGACGCACAAGGAGTACATCGAGAAAACGAAGGCAGCGCCATCGACCCATGACCTGGGGCCGCCGGAGCTGCAGACTTTCGCGGCTCTTCTGCAAGGTATCGAACATTGGTTTTACGAGGGCTTATCGTCGGAGGCCGGCTTGCCGGCAGCGAAGAATGTGGCGAACCTCAAGTTCCTCCCGCGGCCCCTGAGGAACATGGCCACGCAGGGGGACATGGAGCTCATGAGCACGTGGGTGAAACAGTGCGACCTCAGCGGCACCCACGACAGCTGAGTGTCCCGCTTGACGCTCAAGACCCTCGGCTCGGTGTCTGTCCCTCGCGACGAGGCGGGGGCGGAGAAGCCCCTCGTGGACGCGGGGGCCGCATGGGCCGTGGTGCAATCCAAGGACAGCAGTCCCGAGGACAAGGCCGCGGCAGGCGCAGCCATTCAAGCGCGCCCCCTCGAGTTTCCTGAGGCCAGCCTTTGCCCAGGGAAGGTCACGCAGGTCGATTTCGCGTTGTATAGGGTCCTCAGGGCATGGGCTGGCAGAACAAACCAGGACGGGCCCCCAAGGGCGTAATGGTTCGAAAGTTGAAGATTTGAGTTAGCCTGCCCAGTGCGGGCTGGTATTCAGCGAGGCTGGCCGGCGCACCGCCTGCGCCCCTCGGTGCAGTAGTAACTTTGGGAAGAGAGCGACGGGCGCAGAGAACGCCACGTAGTGAGAGACAACCAGGCTGTAAGCCTGAGGCCCCGGGCGCACGCACAGACCTTAGTGCAGCATGCTGCGATTTCGATGGGGGACCAATCAAACAAAAATACCCGTTAGGGCTTCGCCCCCTGCCGCCGGCCCCCTCTCTCGGATAATGGGCAATGCAAGAGCGAAAGCATGAGGCCCTTGGCGCCGCTGTGAAGCAGCGTCAGGACTTCACGAAAACGGTGAGTAACCGGCAAGATGAATTGAGATTCTGGTGGTATTGTTGAATTCGGTGTTGTATTTCGAGCTTGCTCGCGTATGCTGTGCAAAAGGGTTTCTTACGAAGTATTGACATGTTGCAAATCCCATCTGTTTTTTTCGACCCAGACCCGGCAGATCTGCGTGAGGAGTGCCGCAGAATTTCAAGAAATGTGGCAAATCCCATGTGTTTTTCGACCCTCATCCCGCCGATCTACATGAGGAGCGCCGCCGAATTCCAATAATGTGGCAAATCCTGCCGATCTGCGTGAGGGCGGCCACCGAAATTCAAAGCATGTGGCAAAGCCCTTGTGTTTCTGGACCCTGACGCCGGCGATCTCCATGAGGGGTGCCGCCGAGTTTTTAAACATGTGGCAAATCACTCGTGTTTTTGGACCCTGACCCCGCCGATATGCATGAGGGGTGCCGCCGAAGTTGAGAAATGTGGCAAATCACTCGTGTTTGTGGACCCTGACCCCGCCGATCTGCGTGAACAGTGCCGCCGAATTTGACAGATGTGGCAAATCCCTAGTGTTTTTGGACCCTGACTCCGCCGATCTGCGCGAGGGGCGCCGCCGAATTTGAGAAATGTTGTGTATCCCTAGTGTTTTTGAACTCTGACCCCGCCGATCTGCGTGAAGGCTGCCGCCGAATTTGAACAATTTTGCAAGCCCCATTTGTTTTTGGGCCCTGACCCCGCCGATGCGCGCGAGGGGTGCCGCCGAATTTGAGACATGTGATAAATCATTTGTGTTTTTGGACCCTGACCACGCCGATATGCGCGAGGCTGCCGCCGAATTTGAGAAACGTGGCAAATCCCAAGTGTTGTTGTACCATGACCCCGCCGATCTGCGTGATGGGTGCCGCCGTCGACTTTGTGAATTTCAGCAAAGCCCCAGTGTTTTTGGACCCTGACCCCGCCGATTTGCGTGAGGGGTATCAATTTCGACCCCCCCAGGAATTCAGGGCACCCGATTCGGGCGTGGTAACTAGGTTCCTTCTCGGCTCCCCTCCCTCGCGCGGGCCATCAACAAGGAACAGTGAGCAGCAAGAAGCAAAACTGTAACAGTGGAAACTGGAAACTGGTATTGGCGCAGGGAACAGCAAACCTTGGGCCTACAGCCTGGTGGCCCCGACAAGGGGGCCGGCGGATATATGTATGATTTATAGACACATCGGAGGTGAGGGGGTGAGATCGAAATGGAACGGAGAGCCCCCCCACCGGGAAATCGATTTCGGTTTCGTGTTCGTGCGTGCCGTGCGGGCGAGGCGAAGCTGCGTGGGCGGGCGAGAGAAAGTCTCCTGTGGCTGAGGCGCGGCCGGACCAAATGTCTCCCTTCCGGGCGGCCGGGGGCCCACGGTGTCCCGCCGGTGTCCCGCTGGTGTCCCGTGTGGCTGAGGCGCGGCCGGACCAAATGACTCCCTTCCGGGCGGCCGGGGGCCCGCGGTGTCCCGCCGGTGTCCCGTCGGTGCCCCGTCGGTGTCCCGATAATGATGATGTTGATGATGATCATGATGGTTGTGTTGATGGTGATGATGATGACGATGATGGTGTCCTGGTGATGATGATGATGATGATGATGATGTTGATGATGATGATGAGATGACGATGATGTTGATGTTCTGCCCGTTGTTGTTGATGATGATGTTGGTAATGCTGATGCTGCTGATGATGATTATGGTATCCCGATGATGATGATTATGACGGTGGTGATGATGATGGTGATGGTGATGGTGTACCGATGATGATATTGATGATGATGTTGGTGATGATGCTGCTGCTGATGATGATGGTGTCCCGATGATGTTGATGATGATGTGATGATTATGATGATGACTGATGATGATGATGATGGTGTCCCGATGTTGTTGATGATGTTGACGATGACAACGATGGTGACCATGATGGTGTCCCAATGATGATGATGATGCTGATGGTGATGATGACGATGGCTGTGTCCCGCTGGTGATGTTGATGATGTTGTTGATGATGATGAGATGACGATGATGTTGATGTTTCTGCCCGTTGTTGTTGATGATGATGTTGGTAATGATGATGCTGCTGATGATGATTATGGTATCCCGATGATGATGATTATGACGGTGGTGATGATGATGATGATGGTGATGGTGATGGTGATGGTGTACCGATGATGATATTGATGATGATGTTGGTGACGATGATGCTGCTGATGATGATGGTGTCCCGATGATGTTGATGATGCTGTTGATTATGATGATGATGATTAAATGATGATTATGATGGTGTCCCGATGTTGTTGATGATGTTGACGATGACAACGATGGTGACCATGATGGTGTCCCAATGATGATGATGATGCTGATGATGATGATGATGACGAAGGCTGTGTGCCGATGATGATTATGATGATGATGATGATGATGATGATGATGATGATGATGAGGATGATGTTGCTGACTATGATGAGATGGTGATGGGGATGATGCTGATGGCCTGATGATGTTGGTAATGATGATGATGACAATGATGATGATGATGATGCTGATGATGATGATGGTGATGATGATGATGATGACGACAGTGTCCCGATGATGATGAAAATGATGGTGTTGGTGATGATGATGATGACGTTGAATGTTAGATCGATTGTGACATCGGTAGTGAGATCGATAGTGAGACCAAATGTGAGATCGATTGTGAGATCGATAATCAGATCAATTGTGAGACCGAGCGAATGAGATATATCGAGTAAGATAGATTGTGAAATCGATCGAGTGAGATCGATCGAGCGAGACCGATAGTGAGATGGATAGTGAGACCGATCGAGTGAGACGCTGCATCCTCCACCCCCCCCGAACCTCCTTATCACCCGAAGGGTGGTCGTATAGGTAGACATAGTCATATCTAGATGCATGTATAAATTTAGATGTTCACAAATGCATGGGTATCAATGTGTACTTGTTTCTTGTTCGGAATGCCGCAGCGCGTCCCTCGTCACCACGGCTGGATCCGCTCCGGCATCCTGGTTTGGATGCGCCTCGCGGAACAGCGGTGTCGGTGTCCAGCCTGTCCCGCCAGGACGTTGTCACCATCAGCGAGGCGCACGATCTCGCGCCCGCGGCGGCTTGGTTCTTGAAGGAGATGCCAGCCTGAAACAGATCCTTGTCTTTTCGACGCACCTTCGGGAGGCCTTGTCTGTCCTATCAAAGCCTTTCTGTGCCTGGCGAGGGTTTGACTCGGATTCGACTCAGATCCGACGCAGACTCGTCCTTCGACATGATTCGACGCGGGTTCCGTGCGGATAGCGGCACAGTGTGACAGACACGGTTGTTTCCCGAGGATGCAGCCGAACCCATCCTTAACGTTGGCATCACCTCATCTCAGTGCCGACTTCAAGGACTCTCCTCAGCCTCGAAGGCGACACCCTGAAGACCGCCACCGGGCTTGTCAATCCAAGGGGCAGGGATAACAAGTAGGAAACAGAAAACCAGTCAGGTCAGCGCCGCGCTTGGCTCCAAGGGAGTTGCTCCAGTGTCATCAGAGCCGTCCGAGTGCTGGCCTTGCCAATCGGCCGTGCTTGCTGCCGCCACAGGGCCACACTGAGGCAGGAAACATACACCCTGGCCATCGCCCGAAGGAGCTCGGCCGACCTGAACGCCGACTGAATCCGTGTGTTTTGCTTGAGCCCGAGACCAGCCCGACGCCGGCCCGAGGAGCTGGACCACGCTGGGAGCGGAGCCCTGCCCCTGGGCGAGGTCGTCGCCGCCCTGGCGCGCGCGCGCGCGGCGCTCGGGCTCGCGGCCCTCTGCGGCGCGGAGGCGTACGTCGCGGCCACGGCGCACGACGCGGGCGGATCCAACGCCCTCGGCGCCGAGAGCCTGGCCGGCGTGCTGGGCGAGCTGCTGGACGAGTGGGCGGCGGCCAGGGGCATCCCCGCCAGCGCCGCCAGCACGCCGAGGTTCGAGGAGCAGAGTCGGGAAAGGAAGAGACACACATCGATACCGCCGCTCGTCCTGGAAAGCCCTCGTCGCTACGGCCGTGTTCTCCTCGAGATGCTGGTGGGAAGGGAACCCATGGACCCCAGGGAGAGGTCCGAGGAACAAACATCAGGACTAGAGACACTGTTTGGTCAGGGTTCGGGTCGGCCGAGTCCTTTCAGGCGATGCCCTGGAGGCCCTCGGGTACTGTCCTGACTCACATTGGCCCTGAAAAGGCAGTTCCACGGCTGAGTAGTCAGGTCAGCGTGCTCGGACGGCTCCCATGGCAGTCGAGCAATTCCGTCGGAGCCCAGCGCTGACTTGGCTGGTCTACTGTTCCATAAAAAGGCGGCTTCAACAGAAGTCTTCGGAGGCCCGCGCGGACGTTACTTTTTTCTGGGGTCAACACTGAAGCAATGTTTGACAGGGCTTCTGCTGGGAAAAAATGTACTAGATCTGCGCGGGCCTCCGAAGATTTTGTGCCGTACCCTGTGCCCCTCCTGGAGGCCCCTGACGCCGCCTGCGCCGCCGCCGTCCCCGGTCGAGGGCGCGCACGTGGTCCTCTGCACCCTGGCGGGGGACGCCTGCCGGGTCGGGCTCGTGGGGATGGAGTGCGCCACCACAGAGGACGGGCGGCGCTGCCAGAGGGGTGCCGCGATCAGGAGTGAGGAGCGATTCGTCGTAGGCCTACTTTTCATTGCCACCACTATGCACCAGCGGCGGCTGACCCTACTAGCAGAGATCTGAGCAGCCACCCCTGGTCTGCGGTGGTGGTTGTGAATCGTTGGCGGGCCTACTTTTCATGACCACAACCTGTAGACCAGGGGCGGCTGACGTAGCGTGATGCCTAGCCCTGCGAGGCGCCGACCACGCCCAGCGATGCACTGCCTCCGGTCAGCCGCCCTTGGTCTGCAGTGGTGGTGGTGACCAAGCAGGCCCACCAATCCGAGTTCGGAGCAGGGCCAGTCGAAACAACGGCGGCCCTCCACGACGTCTGTAGTCCTCCTGGGACCTTTCCGAGGCTTCTCGCGCTCCACGGCTGGATCCGCGTCGAGGGACGGGTCAGGATAGACCACGTGAAGGATCTGGCAGCCGATTTTGAGTGGATCCGGGTCGGGTGGGAGATCCGCCGTTTTCTCCACTGGCCGTCCGCGGACACGAGTGAAGAGCGATCAGAGCGAAGAGTGGTCCTCGAAGGTTTTTGGGACCCGCTGCGCTCTCCATCAGCTGCGCCTCGTCGAGAGCGCTCCCGGGCTGCGGGAATTGCCCCGAACGGCCGCCTGGGGTCCGATTGATGGTCCGACAGCCAGCGCCGGTTGCTCGCACCACAAGGACTCGTCCGAAAGCCAGCGTCGGTGGCGCGCACCACGAAGATTACGCTAATTATCCCCATCGCACGCGAGGACCACATTCTGAAACAGATTCGAGCACCCAGGGAAGCATCGAACCAGTGTTCGGCCGAAGCGCTGGCAAAGTGTCGAAGGATTCTCGCTTCGCACGGCCCGACGCGTACTCGAAATTCTTCATGTTGGTTAAGGCTAAGGTCGGCTGGAATCGTCATAACAGAATATGTGGCGCGAGGAAAGCGGCCCTTGGGAAGCTGGGGGGCTTAGTGGATTTCTAGTGAGGCCTCTCCGCGGCCTTCAGAGCAACCCTCACGAGGCTCAACAGGCGCCGCGGAACTGTAGAATTCAGGGGCAACGTTAGACGAGGATAGGCTCAGGGGCGGTGCATCGACCGACAATCGCCCGTTCGGGCCACCATTCCCATGAGCGTGTGCGGACCCGCCATCGCCATCGGGGGCCTATCGCCAGTCTATCGATGATTGCCGATTCCAGCCTGAGTGGCCTCTGTCCCAACGCTGCCCCTCAGCTCAGCACCTTGAGCCCGGGACACTTTCAGCAGCCCGCGCCGACCGAGGACCTCGAGGGCGCAGTCGCGCGGTCGCCGCTCGCCCTACGAGTCGGCCTGCCGGTGGTGTTTGCGTTCGGCGGCCGCGTGCTGGGCGCCGGCGACAGGCTTCAGAGCAACAGCGGAGCGTCCTGGTCTGCCTAAAGTCAGGGGAGGGCGAGTTGAGACACGGGTAGCTGGCCTTCTGGGGGGCTTTCTCGTCGCCACGGCTGGGCGCAGCTCAGAGGATTGGACCCCGAGAGAGGTTTGGGGACCGATTTTGAGCTTCCGTTGCTTGAATTCGCCCTGCTCCGATAGAGTCCGGGGATCAGCAATGGCCAACGCCTCCGAGCACCCATCGGGGACGGGCCCGCCCCTGGGCGGTGGCACGCCCGTGGACGTTGCGCAGGCGGGCCACCGTGCAGGGGTCGCCCCCCCCCCCCCCCGACGGGTTCTCGATGGTGGTGGTGTCTGTTTCCCCTCTCAGAAGCGTCTTGGTCTGCCCAAAGGCCGCCAAGACACGTTGCAGGCTAATGTTGTGCATTGTGTAGTGCGCGCTCATGTCGCGTTCTAAGAATATGACTTCTCATCGGAGATGATCGTTTCAAACTGAGAAGATGTCGTGGTAAGCCTAGGGATTGCCTGCTCAGCAGGCTGCAGGATCACGCCATAACGTGCGGGAGCCACGTGGACGTCGTGCGCGTCACGCCGCCGCCCGCCTTGGTGCGGCTGGCCTGCGAGGGCCTCGGATGCGGCCCCTCGATCCGCGGGTCGTGCGGGACCTTCCGCCTCGTCGTCGGCAGGACGAAGAACGGCCGGCCGGTCTGCATGCGGGGGCGTCCAAGGTTAGGGTATCAGGGCCATCAGGGGCAACGCTGGGGGGAGATCGACTCAGGGGGGGACGCATCGACCCCCAATTGCCCACTGATTGCAAATGGGGGCCCGAGAGCGCCAACCTGCTCAGGAGTGTGCGGCGTCGCTACCGGGGCCCATCGAAAGTCTATCGAAGATGTATCGCCGATTCCAGGCCGATGATTTCCCCCTGAGGCAGTCCACCCTTAACGTTCCCCATCGCAGGGGCGTGTGGATGCAATGTCTAGGCCATGACATCTCCCAGGTTTCATGGCCCCCTCCCACTGTTTTGACACATCCCATGTCCCCCGCTCGTCCTTACACATGCCTCGGGCCATGATGGTCTGACCCGCCCCTTCCTGGCACTCCTCGGCGCAGCCGATACACTCGAAGCTGACACGTATGCATAAACATCAATTTTCGGAGGCCCGCGCGAGTTTCTTGGATCGGCGCATGACCGCCAGGAGCGTCGTGGGAGGTGCTGCTTGGTTGGGGGGCCCAGCGCCGACCCGAGAAATACACGCGGACTCCCGGAAGCCTGCGTTTGTATAATAGCGTTTTGCCCCTCCAGGTCTACGTGCGCGACTTGGCTCTCTCCTCCTGGAACGCGGCGATCCGCTACCACGGCGCCGGATGCCGCTACCTCCTGTTCGAGGAGCACCCCGAGAAGGGGGGGCGTTGGGCCCTCACGGACGACAGGGACTGGACTGGCTACACGGACCGCGCGTACGCCTTCGCTCCGCTGACGGTGCCGCACCCAGGCTACCTGGAGGGCCGCGGCTGGCACGTCTACAAGGACTCCGGGTGCGAGGCCAACAAGACGTGGCTGGAGCTCGGGCACCCCCAAAAGGTGCGGTGATTGCACTGTGTGGTGGTTCAGTGGGGCTTCGGGGCCACCGCACGGCTTTGGGACTCAGGCGGTTTTCCAAGGGCGTCTCGGGCGACTGGGGCCTCCGGGGTCCAAGACGAATACCGTGAGGTGACGGACCGTGCGGCAAGGTCTGTGGGGATTCCGAGGTCGCCGCACCGTCTGTCACCAGACCGTTTTGGGACCCCCAAGGAGCACCCCTCGTTGCAGCTCACCGTGGAGGAGGCGAGCGATCGCCCCCTGTTCGCGTCGTGAGCGCAGAAAGGGGAGAGCGCAGTAGGCGAACAGGAGACGTCTTGGATCCGCAGTCGGAGGAGGGCCAGCCGAGACAGCGGGCGGCCCTGACCGGGGATAGTGGCGGCGTGCAGCTGCCGCCTTCGAATCGGCGGGGCTGTTGCGCCCCTCCCGTTGGTTGTAGGGTTTTTTTGTAGCTCCCCCGGCAGAGTGGCCCCACCCCCGAAGTGGGGGGAGGCCCGCGGCCGCGTGGTCAGGCCAAACGGCCGTGGTGCGGACGTGTACAGGTTCAGACTCGATTCAGGCAGCCTGGCCGCGCTGCAGATGATGGGCCGATTTTCCACCACCACTACCATGGGTAGGACGGGGGAGAAGGGAGGATGGGGAGGTTCTCCTCCTCCTCCTCCTCCTCCTTTCGAGCCATGTATGGGGTTGTCCCCCTGGATCACGCCCCGCACCAAGTAGCTAGAGATGGTGAGGACTACGCATTTCGAATACTCAGTCGTTTTTCGGAGCGGGACCCCGAAATACTCCAAGAGGTATTTTGCGACTGCCTGGGGACCATCGGCCGCGACACCGACGCTGGTGAAGCTTTGCGCAATGACAATCCTAGGCAGCTCTTCTGGAGGGAATGGTGGTCAGGCATTGGCCGTCAGGTCCAAGCTCACAAAGTGAATTCTCACACTTCTGAGGCGACCGCATTGACCGACCACGATGTCTGGATCCTTCGTTGAAATAAGATGGCCGACACGTATGCCAAGAAAGGTGCGTTGCTCTGGGGAATTCCTGAGCAGTGGCCTTTGTTCGTTTCAGGTTGCGAGCGGATTGAAGCAGACTGCGCTATGTGGCATGGCCGAGCCCAGGCTGCTTGGGGTGCCCTGGAGCAGCCCGATTCGGGTGGCATTGCCGGCACCCCTGACATCCAATTCGACGATGAATTCTCCGAGGCCCCTTCTAGCAGGGTTCCGGCACCGTAGGGGCGTCGGGGTCCTTGCTCTCTCCGCCTCCGCCTCCCGCTCCTCCTCAGGGCTTCATTGCATCAGCCGGGGTACCGTGGGCCCTCCGTGGACATTCAGTGGTCCAGGCTCCTGTGCAGGCTGAGTCGGGAGAGACGCTCTCCGATCCTCTCTTCTGCAAGTTGTGCGGGTCTTCGGTGCACAAGGCTGCACGGGGCCTTCTGGTCCCAGTGTCTAGGCCCAGCCCACCCAGGTCTCAAGACGCAGCGTTCGAGGCTATGCCGCGGTCTGCTTCCTGGCCACAATTTGGGCAACGCCAGCATCGGCCGTGCCGTCGGGCCGTCGGTTGAGATCTAGGCTGTCTGGGGTCCTTCGCTGGAGTGCCGGGGGGAGCCGGACAGCGTCAGGAGGGCGCCGTTTCAAACAATTTGTCCCGCGACGCTTCCCGCCACCTTGAGCCAAGGTGGCTTGAGCCAGGCTGTGGGGTCGTCCGCTTCTTCGGCCGACGCGGATGCAGAGCGGGACTCCGCCGTGGTGTGCTTGCTCCACTTTGAAGCAGCTCGCGCCACCCAGCTGCACGGTTTTAGCTCCCCTCAGGCGCTGGTGCATCGGGAGAAGACCCAACGCAGGCGCGAGGGAGCCGACACAGCTGGGAGGATGAGGAGGCCAGCATAGGATGAGCCCCTGGTAGGGTTTCGCTGGGCCATCGGGTTCGGCATCTGCTGCTTGGCATTGGCGGGGCGGCTCGTTTTCTCGCTGGGCATCGGCTCCGCACGGCTTTTCGGCGAAGGGTCGGGAGGCCCCCGCCAGTATGCCAGCCTTCATTGATACGGAGGGTATCATCAGCAGCCTCAGCAGCCTCCTCCCTCTCCTACCTATGGTAGTGGTGGTGGAACATCGGCCCATCAGCAGACCGCCGCGCGGCGGGCTTCTCGTTCGGACGGAAAGGACCGCGCCCCGCGGGGTCGCAGGTCCCGAAGTTTGGACGCCTGGTACCGAAACAGCGGCTACTGCAGGGGTTCACTGATCGTGGTGCTGGAAGGTACGCGCGCTGGGGCAGTGGACGTCTTGGCTGCCCGCGGGGTGTCTGGCGTAGCGCGTGGCGCAACTTATGGCCCGTCCATTGTAGGGCAAGGGGCGATTTGGTTGCCCGCGGGGCGGCCCAGTTCTGACGCAACCCATGGCGGACGTTTGGAAGGCCCGCGCGATGTTTGGCGCAACGCCTGGGGCAATGTATGGCAAACGATGTTGAGGGTCCCCGGGTCCCGTGTAGGACGGACCGGTGTATGTTTTGAGCATGTGTCATCAACACCGTGAGTTTCTCGGTCAGAGCTTCGGGGCCCGTTGACCCTCCGATTACCGCTGGAATCGAAGTGACGCTTGTCCATGACTGACTGGTGCGGCTTTATTTGCGCGATGCGAGGGCCGATGCCGAGTTGAATTCGCGACCGCCAGGGTCCATTTCGATCCGATCGATCTGATTCGATATCGTATCTGGCCAGTCCGATTCGAGTCAGAGAAGCCGACGATTTCGAGCGGATTGTTGCGGCGCCGTTGTGCATTGCTTTTCGGACTCGAATATGACTCCGTGCCGATGCGGTCCAATCCGATGCACGTTGCGATTTGGTCCGATTTGCCGACCGATCCGATGCCGATTCCTATGTTCCTCCGCGCCGATCCAATACATCCGTGCGGACCTCCCAGTTGTTATGTTCATTCATATGGTGTTCTTCGGGATACCGAGCTCCACCTTAGGAGTCTGGGTCGTCCGCAGGGGCACGAAGATAACTTCGACCTGAGCGCCTAGCAGTCTGGGGCCGGAGGGATGCCCTTCTCCAGGCGGGTGTCGGCGGCGTGAAAGCGCGAAGAAGTTCGCGCCCAGCGCTCCTCCTCCTCTGGCATGTGAGCGCGAAGGGATTCGCGCTCCGCGTAGCGCCAAGCGCTCTTGCTCCTCGCGTGGCGCTCCTCGAACGGGTGTCAGATGCGTGGCTCCGGGGTCGGTTGTGACTTTTCACGCAGTGCTTGTCGGTGCCCCCCTTCACCCCCAATGTCAGGTGTTGTGCTGAACGCCACCGCGCTGCGCGCTCCCTTTTTGGCCCCTCTTCCTCCTCCTCCTCCTCCTCCTCCTCTTTCTTCCCTTCCTCCCTCCGTTCTTCCCTCCTTCTCCCTTCCTTCCTTCCGTCCGTCCCTCTTTCCTTCTTTCCTGCCTCCTCATCGGTTTGTATGATGTGGGCATCATTCGTTCAAATTGGTGTTAATTCCTGAACGATCCTTCCCTGCTTCTCGTTCCCTCCTACTCCTCCTCGTCCTACTCCTCCCCTCCTCCGCCTCATCCTCCCCCCCTCCTCCTTTCCTTCTCCTTCGCCTCCTCCCTCTTCTTTGATCCTCTAAACCTCCTCAATCTCTCCTCATCATCCACAGTTGCACCTCTCAAATACTACTCTGACTCTCCCCTGACTCTGTCCGGACGATGTTCGGCCCGATCCGCGTATGACATGTTCACACAGGGTTGCAAGCGCTATCTTCTTTATGTGTTGTTTGCAATCCTATTGTATTGCCCGTTGTTTGCATTCCGATTCCATGGAGCTTCCAAACAACTGAAAGTGCACCAGGGCAGCTCGGGAAACTATCAAACAATATAGACAATCGCACGTGGTGGTGGAGGGCATGCGGCAACGCAAACAAACAAGAGCGCCTGGTAAGGGGAGCGGAGCAAATCCGCGATGGGCCTGGAAAGCCAGGACGCTGTGTATTCTTGGAGATGATGCGGGCTTGTACGGAGGATGATTTTGCATGGATTTTCGGATTGGGAGGCCGCCCGCAAAGCAGTGTACACATACAACCCTCAGTTCACGAGTTTTCCCCATCCTCTTTCAGGAGGTAGTCCATGGCCGATTGTCTTCACCCTCGCCAAATACCGTAAGAAACATCGATTGTTCCCTCGCTTCCTCCCTCACCCCGGTCTTCTCATGGGTGGCATGCAGCAGCAAGCCAATAAGGTTTCTTGGAGACACCGCTTCTTCAAGACTGGCGATCAGGAGCCTCAGGGGCAGCATCGTTGGCGACGGCGCGTTGACGGTGTCACCCCACCTTGTCCTCACCCCACAGATCCTTGCATTGCATCTCGTAACCGTATTTTCAGGTCGTACCCTCCAGAGCTCCAGAGCGAGGGTTACGATGAGTCAGCATAGGCACGGAACCACATGGTATTCTAGTGTTCTAATAATATGTCAAGCTTAGACCGGTGGGCAATCAAATTGCTGAGAGAAAACTTGTGCATCCCAATATCGACGGGCAAAGATTGGGGTTTGTCTGGTAGATTGCGCAGACACGCGTGACCTTTCAGAGCAGGTTTTGGTTTGCCATTGGTCTGATCAGATTTCATCTTTAGATTACCAGGCCCGGCGCACTGCAGAAAGATATTTTCAGTGTTCAAGTATGGCGCAGAGGCAACAAACTGCAGACCGATAGGTTTCATGAAAGTTCCTCTCAGTTCTTCGTGTATCGCTCGTGTAAATTTTACTTACAAGACACACGCCACCAGAAGAAGTTAGCTTCAGGAGCGCCCACGCTGCCTTTCGCTTCTCCATGAGGGCGCTGGGACATTAGGTCAAAGTAGAGTTGAGGAAGCCCCTGGACAGCATGCCGTTTCGTTTGCGAGACTCAGACCGTTTCTTGCGGATGCTAGACCTTGCTTGCACCCTGCCCCTCCTCCTCCTCCTCCTCTTCCTCCTCCTCCTCCTCTTCCGCCTCCTTGTGATTCATCTCGCGCGCTATGTCTCTCCCTCTCTCTCGCTCTTTTCTGGCTCTCTCTCCATCTCTCTCTCTCTCTCTCTCCCTTTTTTTCTGTTCTCTCTCTCTCTCTCCACCTCCCTCTCCCTCTCTTATCGCTCTCCCTCTCCCTCGGCCGCTCCCGCGTGGCGGCACACGTGCGCGCGGGTGGGCGCACGGGTAGGCGACGACGACGTGCCCGCGGAGGTGTTGTTGGCGGAGCTGGACGAGATGGCGGCTGCCGCTTCGGAGGACGACGCCGAGGACGAGGACGCTGGCCCGCGGTGGCAGGGGCCCGTGGAGCCCTCCTAGGGCTCATCCTGGACAGTTTTCTAAGCCGCGCTGAGCTGCGGCGACGAGGGCCTCCAGAGGCGGCCAATAACTTCCACAATCACTGACAACCTTCGAGAACTTGCGCGCCGCCACCAGCCGGGTGTTGCCAGAGATGCCCCAAGGGCCACGGTTGCCCCAGGAACGGAGGAGTGATGGAGGGGGGGAGGCAGAGGTCTGCTGCAGCTCGGAGGAGGGCGGGGCGTGTTGAAACCACGGCTGCTCTCCCGCCCGGCCCAAGTCCGGTTCCCGGACCCCATCCCGGGTGTATCCTGCCTCGGCTTCCGAGGCGGAAGCCGTGGCGACGAGGAGCCTCCCGGTAACCCAGAGAGGACGAACGGCGCCCGGGAGGGCCGCCGTTGTCTCAAGCGGCATTTCTGCGCGATGCGACTTCCCCCCCTGTCTTCCTGGCCCAACGGAGGAGCAGGACCTGCAAGCCTTTCAGGGCGGGAACAGAGAACGAGGAGGCGGGGGTGAAAGCAGGCGGGCGACGAGATAGGGCAAGGGGACAGGAGGAGGGGGAAAGAGGAGGGGCAAGGAAAAGGGGGCGGGACAAGCTAGCTAGATGCGCTCGTGCCATGTCTGACATCCCATTTCTCCCTCCCATCCCTTCCCAGTGCGCTGACTTTTTCTCTATCCGCGGACACGTGTGGACATGGAACTCCAGAACAACAAAAGCCTCGTGTCATTCGCAAGCAGAAGGAGGGCCGTGTACATCAGAGGGGGATCAGTGGGCGGCGGATGAGCAGGGGGATGGGCAGCCGGAAAAGGCGGATGAGGAGGAGGAGAAGGAGGAGGAGGAGGAGAAGGACGACGACGAGGACGAACAGCAGCATCATGAATTGGATTGGAAGGATCGGGAGCATCAGGCAGGAGGACAAGGGGAAGGCACAGGAGTGACCAGGAGGGAAGCGACTACCGAGAGGAACGACTCGGATTCAGGAGACTGGTATTCATTTTTTGAGATTTGGGGGGGAGGGAGGGAAGGAGGAAGGAAAGATGGAGGCAGGATGATGATGGAGGGGGAAAGAGGGGGGAGGAAGGAAGGAGGAAGGGAAGGTGAAGAGAGGGGGCAGGGGGAGGGAGCAGGGAGGGGGGCGGAACAGACATGGTGAAGGAGGAGCAGGACCTGCGGGTTCCCTGCTCCTCCCCGACGCCCAGCCCGTCAGGACGGCCTGGCGCCACCGCGGCCGCCAGCGAGGGCCCACGACCCGGTTGTCGCGCAGCTGGCGCGGCGCTCCGAGATGGCGCGCGCTTGTCGTCGCCGTCGTTCGTTCGTTCGTTTATTACCTCCTCTTCCTCCATCCTTCCCGCTCCTCGTCCCTCCTCCGTCTCTTCCTCCTCAACCATGTAGATTGTGGATTGTGGTTCCACGGACACTCCAAGACACCCTCCTCCTCCTCTCCCTCCTCCTCCTCGTCCTCCTCCTCAGCCTCATCCTCACCCTCATCCTCATCCTCCCGTACTGCCCCCAAGTTACCCCTCCCCCTGAGCCCCGATTCTGTTAAAACAAATCTTCATGATCCTCCTCTTTCTCCTTCCTCTTCTTCCTCCTCCTGTTCCCCCCCCTCCTCATCCCTTTTCTGTTCCACGACCCGTGGATCATTCTGGCAGACTGGAACCACGAGCCCCACTGGTGGCAGGGCATGCCATGGCTTGGCAGGTGTGACGGAGTTCCTGCCACCGTCCACGACTGCATCGCCACCTGCGACATGCGCAAGGGTTTCACGCACGTCTACGCATTCGTGCGCCGTAACATCCCTGTTTCCGTTAAGCTGGAAGCGGTCTACGATGTCCCGTGGAAGTTGTTTTGCGGCATCAAGGTCACGGGTTGTTGTTAGATTTGAAGAACAGGCCCCCCGGCCAATCCGACCCTGCATACCGCGGCCGCCAGACCCCAAGTTGTCCGATGATCCCCGAGAATCCCGGGTTTCCCGC